TAGCAGCTAAAACATTCATTCGAATATCACTGACTATTTTCTGGGTGTCACTACTATGTGCGTTCAATGTCAGGAGTGCACTCTGCGAGCCACAGTATACAAGTCCACTGCCTTTGTCTTTTAAAAATTCAATGGCAAGGTATATGCCTGCAAGTTCGGTTTGAGTTGTACTTGCCCAGTCATTGACGCGCTTCATTGCTGTATGTACGAGAGAAGATTGTTCAAATATATTACATGCACATCCGGTACATGTCCACCTTCTACAGAGCCGTCGGTATAGCACTGATACACATTGTTACCCATACTCTGAGTACTTTCAGTGATGCTTTTCAGTGTTAACTTTTTTAATAATGTAGAGTGCACACTATCTTTCTTGGGCGCATTTACAAAATCAACTGATAGATCCCAGTTATCCCATGGAGTAATTGGTTGATTAATCATTAATTGAGTTGGGTACATATTTAATATTTTGATGGAGTTGGCTACCTTGTAGAACCAAAATACATAATCAGATTTCGTTCTTCTTCTATAGACCTCAGGTGAGTGCAGCATGTTAGAAAGTTTAGCTTGAAACTTCATGTGTTGTCTAGATCTACTCAATGCCTTCACGCCGAAAACTGTGCTAATAGAGAAAATCCTTTTACTTATGGTAGGTAATTTTTAACTCTGCTCTCATATTAACTATTCTCATGGACTTTGGAGCCCCAAGGATGAGACGTATAGCTTCATTTTGCAAGGTTTCAAGAGATTTCAGCTCTTTGTCAGTATATAGTGATATGTAGAGCATTGTAGCCAATCACAGAGCGTATAAATGATACATAAAACATTCTAGCAAGTCTCACGTTAATTCCATGATTGACACCAACAAGGACCCGCAAGGGCTTTAATCTCTCCCACAGTCTCCTCTTGAGAGAAGAAAGGTACCCAGGGTCGTTAATGGGGACACCAAGGTATCTGTAAGACTCGCAGTTCTCAAGTGCTCGCCCATCTATATGATAATTGGGTGGTGGAATACCACATGGAATGAGGGCACGAGTTTTCTGTACAGAGATAAGGAGGCCACATTCCTCAGCTCTAGTAGCAAAAGCATCGAGCAGAACTTGCATTCTAGGCTCGGAGGCAGCCTGTAAACATATATCATCAGCATAACAAATGACAGTGTCTTCATTATTAGTTGGAAGATCTTTAATAAGTTTATGCATCAGAACGTTGAACAACAAGGGGCTGAGGACCCTTTACTGACATCTTCAGAAGGAAGAATTTACAATTCAGTGTGGATATATAGGCAGGAATTCCTCTATATTCCTGCCTATATATCCACACTGAATTGTAAATCCATCCTTCTGAAGATGACTTATTAAATACGAAAGTACTTAAGAAAATTCCTGTCCTAATCCTTCCTTCGTAGTCTGACATTTTCATATATTATATATATTATTATTATAATTATTATATAGCATATTTTTGTGGGCTATAATATATAGGCCTCGGAATAATTACATTATTCATGTAATAATGTATAAGTACACAAAACTGCGGGTGGAGACCTACCATGGACTATTGCACTGGAAAACCACCTTGGGAGTACGGACTAAGAAAACTAACCTTGTTTGTTGTTGTTATAGATTCAGCTACTCGGAACAAACATTACAAGTAGCACAGGTTATGGTGAGCCCGTAGTGGATTGTAAACAAAAGAAAAGAAAACTAACCGTTCCAGATTAAAGTCCTATAAAACGACACAACGCTATGTCCCTAGAACCCAGAACTATGACTTTAGAAACCCTGGATCTATTGCTTTTAGAAAAGGACGCAGAACTACGTCCCTAGAAAACTATCAGGTCCACGGCCCTAGAAAAGGACCCAGAACTACCGCGATAGAATACGACCCTTGAAAGCTACACAAGAAACCTAGCCTGGAGAATAGCCTAAAAACACACCTGTGGTCAGCAATGGTTGCAGGTGACATTCCCCGTCTCGCCACACACCCGCCGCCACCAACGCCGGCCTCGACACAGATGAATCGCACAAACTCTGCAATTTTTCGTGGCTGGCGGTGGCATCCAACAGCCACAAGGCAGCAAGAAGAGGCGAGAAGAGCCACTCAGCGGACGCGGCCACACTCAACAGCTTCACGCTTTTCCTGTAAAGTTTGGAGGGTGTTCAGACTCCTGGCGGGAGCTTGGCCGCCGCCCAAACCATTTTGGAAAATAAATAAATATATTTTATATTTTGAAATTTGTATGTTTTTGTTTAGTTTTTACTATCTATGAAATTAGTAGAAAAAATTAAATTAATAAAACAGAGTTGTATAATATTGTATCGATTAACTAAAGAAAAAATGGTACAGTATCAGTATTTATGAATTTGCATTCTTTCAATTAATATTAAAGGATTATGGTCAGTATATACATCAACCTTATTATCTTGGAGATATACCTCATTAACCGAGAAAGTAATTTGCAGAGGGGGCGGGTAAAGATTTAAATTAGGTTTTACATGGCAAAGTGAATGTAATATAACTTGGTGCGACGACTCTTATTTTATTTGTTATAAATTGTTTTTAAATACATTTATATACTAGACAAGGTACCCAGTTGTGCCAGGGTCTCTCTCCCAATCTTCCTCCTCTCTCACTTCTTCTATCCCTCTCTCAACTTTTCTTCCCTCTCTCCTTACATCCCCGTCTCAACCCACGCTTTCCCCCCTATATTTCTCTCTTAGATAATTTATTTATTATTTTATTTACTTAGTTATATACAAGAGAATACATTGGGTTGTTAAAGTACATACATAGGTGATTGAGTGTGATATTTTGCAAAGCCACTAACACACAGTGTTTCGGGCACGGAATTAAAACTGCTACAAAGCTTTACAGAAAACAAATTCCCAATTTCAGACTTCATGAAAATTGCAAGGGTCACTACAGGAGCAAATATTAAAGGGTCACACTGGGGCCGACCCTAAATGGACTATGACGTTCCCATACATCCCATGTGTCATCTTGGAAGTTTGAAAAGTTTAGTCTCAAGCATCTGGCCTCCTTCCTACTGTAGACAGACAAACAAACAGACAATTTATTTTATAAATATAGATTTTTCTAAGGCATATATTTTACATGGTGAATAGCATACATTTACCAATAGTGCTGGCTACCATATTGCCAAACGCAGCATGTTAACCAACAAATATATTTTGAGGACTAATAAACAAATTTAGATTTATTGGGTTAATTAGCTAAGGCCCATCAAAATTTCCAGCAGCATGCATATTTAAGGTCATCTGGTACAATGTACAGTGCAGTAGAGTTACTAAATAAAATCTATATATTTTCAAGCCTCATGGGATATATACACTATGTCCAAGACTAAAGTATACTTGCTGTTTAATCAGTAAGGTATTGTGGTGGCCTTAATAACCCTCCATCCAGAGGTTAATAGGCCTTGAACCCAACACCAAACCAAAAACTCATGACGAATGTGGAGATTTTCAATTGTTTCCCATTGTTGGGAACAGAAGACATGTTAGCTTGGCCTATCAAGGTCCTGCTAGCAAACAAGTGGCTAATTCCCTAGGATGCAACTCACAACAGTCAGCAAAACCCAAAGTATCAATTTGTATTACTGTACTGCTAGGTGAACAATGAGGTTTCAGGTGTAAGGAAATTTGACTGAATAATGTGTTTTTTCTTCTTATTATTAATAACTATAGGTACAGTGAAGCATAGTGCTATCCAATAATATCAAGGATTACACAGTATTGATCGAGATGTAGCTATGAGTTCACTTAATATCTCCACTTGCAGGATGGTTGGTCATACAGTTTACATAGTCAAGGCAAACCTTTGTATATGATGCTAAAGACTAAAATAATAAATAAATAAATGTTTATTTAGGTAAGGTACATACATACAAGAGATTTTACAAAGTTTGTTGGATTAATAGATAGAACTAGTACATACAATGCCTACTGCCTAGTAGACTGTCTACTAACCTGCACTAGCAAGCTTTTGGTAGAGTTTGGTAATATCTTTTGTTATCCACAAGTGAATGAAAGTTACAAAGCTCCAAGTATCCCATGCTATTTGGTCTAAAATAATGGATAACTGGGTGTTCACTAATATAGTGTCGAAGAGTGCACTCACCTAATTGTCCTTGCAGAGGTTGAGCCTTATTTCTTTGGTCCCAGTGTTCTAGCTCTTATTCAGAGTTTACAGTTGGAGTGCTCACTGTTGAGAGATTTCTAATAGTGCAGTGCACAATGTACTTTTATCATATGCACTTTGATGAACCTAATATCAGCCATATTGTTTTACCAATTCATTTTAAGTGCAAGGAGTATGCCAAACAATTCTGTCTAAAGAATGAAGGTCCAGTTATTTATACAAGCCCCTCACTCAGATTAGGAGAATTTTACAGCACAATTGTTTGTGCTGCAAATGAATATTGGCACAGTAAATTGCGTTACTAGCTTATCAAGACTAACTTACTTAGCTAAATTAATTTTGGGGGTTCAGTTCCTGAGCCCATTATGTATCCCTGTAACCTTTTCCACTATTGCCCACAGTATGCATATATAATAAACTAACAAAATAAACAAATTTTATTGCAAACTATTAATAGTGTATTATTAATAATAAAGGGAATATTTTGAGGGTCACACAAAATTGATATTTTCCCATTTAATATTTCATTGTGGTGTTTCACACTTATTTACAGTTTAAAAAATAATTATTTTGTTACAAAATGTTACTTCTCCCTAATGGTTATATTCAGTACCTCATTTGAGCTCCAGAGCCATATACTGATGGCAGAGGTAATCCATCATAACCTGACACTTTAAGCTGCATGTATTTTTGGAATGTGCATGAGTGTATCCTACAGGATCATTCTAGTTTTCTATGAGTGTACACCCTGCAGCTTAAGCTAATGAGCTAAATTTATAGATTTTCTTCAGTGTACTATCCTGCATACTGTATTTGTTCTAGGGAAATAATACAACTTTCATCTCAAGTATTTTATTCATTTTTTTATGAAATAAATAACAAAGCAATTATAAAGTATGAACCTAATTAGAGCGAAGGATAAGTTTCTTTTCATGGTGTATAAGAAACTGTCAACCAATCTTGACAAACTAAATTTCTCTACACTAAATACTTTACAGCAAATGCATACCCAGGGCCAGGGTGCATCAAGAATACATGGGAGAGTTTAGTATGCATTTATTACAATGTTCACAAACTCCAAACCACTATGAGGGTGTCATAATAGTAATAACCTTGGGTTGAGGATGACCTCGAAGTGCTTCAGAGCTCTTGCAAATTTTTTAATAAATGCAAACTAAACTGCTATGATCAAAGTAAGAGCAACAACTCTCCTAAGTGTGCTTGATGAAACTTGGGCCTAACTTCAGTAAATGTTCATCAAATAGCAAATGTTGTACTCCATATATCCATGAATTACTTTAAACATTGCAAAAAATATTGTACTGCAATGTACACACAGTACTAATAAATAATTTCAGAATTATTTTACATCATGGTTTATGCAGAGGTAAGAAAATAACATGACAATCTTAAATATGAACAAAAGCACTGTATTGTATCACAAATATATAGTTATTAATATCAGATGGCTATTCATTAATATTTACTCTTCATCAATAAAATCAATTCAAGTGTGATTCAACTACTTCAGTATAACCTGAATGAATAATATAAACTGAGTTACACAGACTCAAGAGTAGAAAATTTTAACATTATTAAAGGAAATCAAACAAATTATAGCAATGCAAATTATTATCTGCAATACATGCACATATTAAAGTTATACAAAAATACTGTATTCTGATTTATAATACTCATTTATTGATCTCTAACTTTACATTTTTTGCATAAATTGGTAACTTTCTTCAGATGAAAGGGGGTTAATAACTGGAGGATACTATAATAGTTTAAATATGTAATGTATGTTTTTTGGAAAATTACAATTGATCTTCAACAAATTACAAGGAAATACTGTCCGAGAACCCTGGTACAAGCAGTGAATTGCAAAATGGGGAAGCAGTTAAAAGTTTCAAGCAATACTGTACTATGTTCAGTGACAAAACTTAACATTGATTTAATTTTTTTTACAGTAAACTATGCAATTTCATTCCATGTAATATATCTCAATACCTGTATTAATGTGAATCAGAGATTCTGAAATACTGTACTGTAAGCTTTTCACAGAAAAGTTACATTAAAATCTATTTAGCCAACTAGCAAGTAGAAAAATAACTATGAGTGCTATCTAATCACTATATATACAGTATTTTATGCCCGATTCTGTCTGGAAGCTCCTTTTCTATGAGAGGGTTACCACATGTAAAATTTTTACCCAACCTCTCAGGCATCTTACGAGTTTTGAATGAGCTCCAGAGACATTTGTCATATAATTCTACATGTTAAGTTTGGTTATCATCCCTTTAATCTTATGGGTTTTGTCATACTGTATTCTTAAATTAATTTGCTCATAATTTGCCTTCATTAATTAACACTAGTGTGTATTCATCTAACTGTACTTTCAGGAATGTAAGTACCAATTTTTCCAGCACATATGATTCATGTTTTTGGTCCACCACCAATTGAGTACTGTATATATTAATTTATGTGGACAAATTAGAAAACATATGATTCTGTGCACAATGAAATTCAATTTCAATGTGTACAAAATCATGTTTTCTCCTACAAAACCACCTTATCATCACTTTCAATAAAAGAAAGATGAATGATCATAGTAAAAAAGAAAAATTATACAATATATCCTTGTTAAATAACTGCATTTTTTATGTTGGCAAATATGATACATAGTTTTTAAGAAATGCAAATATGGTATATAGTTCTTGGAGATCACTATAAATCAAACCCAGTTCATATGAGCAACAACTGGATTTACTAAAGTGGTGGATACTTTGTCAATAGCATTAAAACATCACTATACACAGTCAAGGCTTCATTTCTTTAGCAAATCCACAAGTAACGATTCAAACTAGCATTAACTACTGTAATTATATTGTAAACTACGGTTGAATATTTCTTTGCTCCATCTCGGTATCAAAATGTATTTCTGATGTACTCCAAACAATCTGATAAGGTCTTTGCTAGTGTGATGGTATTTACAAATACTGTAGTCTAATCTTGTCTTTGTATTTCTCACAATCATTGTCAGCACTTTGTGCTCTTCACTACCACTGAGTTTTATAATGCATCTGTATAGAGTCACTGTATGTATGCAGATGTGCACATGAAAATTATATGGCTAAAACATATACAAACAAATTGAGTAACAGACACATAAATTAAAAAAATCTCAAATTATCAAACTTCCAAAATGTTGCATTTCAAAAAAGATGTGCAAATATGCTAAATGTGATTTTTAAGAAATGGGTAAAGAATTAATATTTTACAAAATACCCTAATCATGAAACAAATTTTATTACAGCATTACAGTAGGTCTACTGTAAACACTAATAATTAATATAATTTTATCCATATGCATGAGAAATTAATTCAAGACACTACTGTAAACAGGTGTGTTGTCCCTGATTAACAATGCAACTCATTACTTTCAGCTGCAATATATGAAAATATGTTTTTTTATATAGTTTTTATTAGTTCACTAAAATAAAAATTCTTTGATAACTATCACAAAAAGAGGATTTTGAAGTCATTGAATAACGTTTTTTATTATGTACATTCAATATACAGTACTGTATTCAAATATTTTCTTTATGTTAAAATACTAGAATTTTAAAAGTTGGCAAACACAGGAATAATTAAAAAAGCAATTGCAATATTACTGTACTATTTCCCAATTACTGTATAAAACTACATAATTTTCCAGTGTATGAGGGATTACAACTTTGTAAAATCTGCTATACATTAGCCAATACTATTCAATAAATACTGTGTGCTACATATGTCCTTAATATATAAAATAAGTTATTACAATATTATTTAATGCACTGAGTCAAATTGTAAATCTTGGAATGATTTATAAACATTATATAAGAAAATATAAATTTTATTATGGTATTGGATCAAGATTATCGTAATTGGTCAGCCTTTCTTTATTTACAAAACTCCATTTCCATTTCTGTGTCATTGAGCTGAAATCACAGATGGCCACAAAAATTTCCTTGTTGCTTATGCTGGAATCAAGGCAGTGGGTGGCTTGGTGTCCAAATTTTATCATTTGATTCTTCTGCAAGACAAGAATTACTTAGTTATGGCCTATTTATTAAACTTAAAACTTTGTGTAAGACAGAAAAACAGAATTAAGTATAATGAAAAGTTCTTTTCTGAGCTTGTCGGTCACTCCTTAAGGCAATCTCTCCCTTCTCAAAGAATCTTGGTAGTACAGTAGGGTTTGTTCTTGACTCACAACTTGAAATCCCGTGTTTGTATTCCGAGCTTTACAGAAACGACTGGGCATGTTTCTTCTCACCTAATGGACCTGTTCACCTACCAGTGAAAAGGTACCTGGGAGTTATTCAGCTGTTGTGGAGTTACATCCTGGGAAGGGGTCAGTAGTTCAACCTGGGGGGGTGGGGGCAACCTAGATATACAGTATGCCTAACATATATTCAGTACAACCTCGATTCAACGTACCCTAATTCAACGAATCTCCGGCTAGTTCGTACACTTTTCAGGCCAGATTTACTCACCTGGTTCGACGAAGCGGGGGATGTTCGGATTTGCTTACAATGTCGAGACGGAGTTCACAGACTGGTGGGAAAACTTTTCCATTCTATTACAGATTACAATTAATAATTCCTTCATATGACAAGTTGGATCACTCAAGTGGACCACACAAGTGGACCACAAGTGGTCCACAAGCTTACGATGTCGGGACAGAGTTCACAGACTGGTGGAAAGCTTTCCCATTCCATCACAGGTTACAATTAATAATTCCTCATATGACAAGTTGGATCACACAAGTGGACCACACAACAAGTGAACCATATGAACCAAACACCAGCCAGAATGGTCCACACAACAAGTGAAACATATTAACCAAACACCAGTCAGAGTGGTCCACACAAGTGAACAACTGTGTTTCCATGATTTTCGTTCACCGATTTGTGGCACATGTATCTTTGCAAATTAATTTAAAGACTGAAGTGTGAATAGCTAGCTAATGTGTTAATCTTCTTATATACATTTTCAGTGATGAAACAAGATGAGTGAGGGGTGGACAGATAAGGAAATACAGTACAGTAAACCTCACTTTACAGTGAGGTTTCACTCACTTTCATCTGTGTCGTCATAGTTCAGTGACCCATGATTTTGAACGTTTCAGATTAATAAATCATTTCTAAAACTGGTGTTTTAATAGCTTTATATTATCCTAATTAAACTAAACTAAGTAAAACCAAAAATATACTGTAATATGATAGATATCTGCTATTTGAGAAATTATTTATGTTATTGGTGGCACAACTCCAGCACGAGTGGGCGGGTCAAACCGTGTGCACATAACACCATGCGTGTTTTGTTCGATTTCGTTGCCACAGTTCAGTGACCTACAGCTTTGAAATAATAAAATTAATAAATCGGTTCTAAAATAAGTATTTTCTGGGGGGAGCCCCGTCGGCTCCCCGGAGCTATCCCAGGCTGATATGCTAATGTCAGACTTTGGCATCAGTCATGTGTATGGAGTTCTTAGGCCTACCGGAGACCACGGCCAGAACCGGGCCCCCTCAGAGAGGCAAGGGGAGCAATGGCCTATAGAAGCCCCCTTGTGGTTGGAAGCATTCTATGTCTGCCATCGACCGGAACAGGCACCCAGAAAGGTAAGCGCCTCAAAAAAAAACCCTATTCTGGCTAAAATTGCTACCAAAAGTCGAACTAGTGGATAGAACTCCCCAACCGAAAACAAGCAAACTAGTGTGACGTCACACACCGCCGCGCCGCTGTCTGCGCAGCTCCCCCTCCCCGGGAGGGGGAAGGGGGAGCCCCAGACCCCCACGCCGGCTACCCACACCTCAGTTCTTGAGGCTGATGCTATAGGCGATGGTCGTGTGCTCTGGCTCCGGTGTCGCTACTGCACTGTGCTTTGCGTGTGGTGTTGGTTTTGTGGGTGCGAGAGCCAGGAGTTATTTTCAGTACTCGGGCTGCAAGCGCCTAGGGCTGCCTTCCCTAGGTGCCCTGTAAATACTGCACTTGGGGCTTGGGGCCACCTTCCACAAGCTCCTCGGGGTCTGCCTCTGCTGGTCCGTTTTACCTTTCGGTTTTTCGGCCGCCTGTTGGGCTCTTGGGTGTTCTGTTCTCCCTTGTTACCGGCAGGTAAGAGGCAGTTTGCACTGGTAGGGGCGCAGGGTGCTGCTCAGCTTGTATTTCCCGACATCGGGCCAGCTCTGTTCCTTGGGGTTCGCTGTCCTCTTGCGGGGTTTTGTTTTTCTTTTTGTTTTTGCCTGGTGGGGGGTTCTGTCATTTTATTCAGTTTGTTTTTGCCCTTCCACTGTTCTCCTCGGTGGCGCCCCCTGCTAGGTCCCCGTGAGTGTACACGTCCCTGGGGTTCAGCTTTAGAAGTTTGCTTGGTAGTTTTGGGCGCCGGTTTGCAGCACCCTGCCTGGGACTACCTGAGCGCGAGTCCTCTTAAAGTAAACGCTCAGGACCCTGGGAATCCCCTAGGGGGCGCGTGGGTCCGATGGATGTGACCCCGGAGTCCCCACTCGCTGTGTGCGAGTTTGAGGGTTGCTCGGTCCTCTTGTCTCAGGGTGACCCTCATTGTTTTTGCCTCTGCCAGGCTGCCTGTTGGGTCGGTGATACTTTCGACTCTGAGTCCTGTGAGTGTTGCTGCTTGCTTGTGACTCAATTTACCCAATCCTCTGATGATTCTATTCGGGTACAGGCGGCGCGTGCGTTGCAGTCTAGGTTTCGTCTGTTGCAACGCGCTCGGTTGGTTGCTCACCCGGATGCCCCGGGGCTGCCCCGCTTTGCTTTTCGAGACCCGGACTTGGGGGTGGGGGTCGCTTCAATCCTGGTTCAGTCCGCACCTCCTCGTCCTTCCCCTTCTGTTCGTTCTGGTCCCTCCCCTCCCCCCCTGCTTCCGGCCCCGAAGCGTCTGAGGGTTTCAGGGTCGGAGCAGGGGTTACTTGATCTCGAGACTCGGGCAGCTTCGGGGGGTGCCCCTTCTGGGGGGGCGGCAGAGGCATTCGAGTCTTGTCTCCCGGCCAAAGCTTCTGGGTCTGACCAGTGGGCCCCCCTTCCTCCAGCTTTTCCGGCTGCTCCGTCCTTGTCTTGTGGGGTCGGGGCTTGGGGAGAGGACTCTGCCTCGGGTCCTGTGGTGAAGGACCTCGAGGCTGGGGAGGGGCTGACTTGGGGGCCTTGGGCCCCGCTGGACCCCGCCTGGGTTTTTCTTCCCTCTGAGCAGGGCTTATTGTTACAAGGAGTGGGGTTTTCTTTTCCCCCCCTCTGCGTACGAGTTGGATTTGGTGTCGGCCCCTCCCTGGGTTCGGTTCCGTGTTCCCCCGGGTACGTCGGTTCCGTCCTTCCGGAGGTTTTCGGCTTATCGCATCCAACCTGGTGTGGTGCGAGCGGCCTTTGCAGCTTACCTCCTGCATGACCCGGATTATGCCTCGGAAATGGATCTGTCCACATTCAGGTTTGGGACTTCGTTCCCTTTCTGGCTCCGTTACGAGGTTCCGGAGTCGTCCTGGCTAGCAGACTGCCCCTTGTTTGGTCTGGATTCCTGGCATTCCTTCTGTCGTTCCCGCACGCTGGAGTGGCGGGAAGCTTCCACGGTGCTTCAGGTTTTCCTGGGGGGCGAGCTTGAGTACCTGAATGAGTTCTTGTTTGCCCCTGCCCTTCCTTGCGATGTGGGCGTTATTCAGCTCCATGTGCAGGTTCCCTCCCTTTCGGCGGCACTCGTTGCGGAGGACTTGCGCGCCCGGGGCCTTTTGGCTTCGGCCTTGCGGTTCTTTTCCCTCTTGGAGCTGTCTTCGGATTGGCTCCTGGAGGATGTGAGGACGCTTGGGTCCGTCCCGGGGTCCGGCACCTTGTCCTCGGCTGCGCGTTCGTCGGCTGCCTTGTTGTAGCTGTTCACGCCGATTTTGCGGGATGCGGTTTCCCTGTTTTATGCTTCCCATCTCGCGTGTCGGCAGGCGGTGCTGGGTTCCTCCGTGGAATCTGCTTGGGCTCTGGCTCTTAGGCGTTCTTCACCTTTTTGTCCTCTTCTGTTTGAGGAGTCGGCCGTGGCGCAATTTATTCAGGCTGCGTCGGCGGCTTGTCGTCCGATGTCGGACTTGTTGGTTTTCCGGGGGTCCCGGGGTGGGTCTTCCCGGAAAGGTCGTGCCAGGACTCGGGGTTCCTCTCGTCGTGGTAGGCCTCTGGTGTCAGGTTCGGGGTTGGCTCCTCCTGCGGACCGTCCCTCGTCTGGTCGGCGCGGTGTTCGTGCTGTGCAGGGTTCTGGGTCTCGTAAGGGTCGCCGGCCCTTTCGCGGTTTGCTCCCTTGACGGGGCGATGGGGGGGTGGCTTGCACTGTTCGCCCGTGCCTGGTCCCACGATTCGTGGGTCTTTCGGGTCGTGTCTCACGACCTGCGGTGGCGTTTGGTGGCCCCTCCCCCCTTTGGGGGGTCGGGGCTGGCAGGGCAGGTTTCTTCCCCTGCACTCTGTCGAGTCGTCTTGGAGTGGGTACGCTTGGGCGTCGTCGAAACAACATCAACGACATCGTCCCTCAGATGGGTTTCCCGTCTGTTTCCGGTTCCGAAACGGGACTGCGCGGACCTGCGGTTCATTCTGGACTTGTCCTGTCTGAACCCCTGGGTTCATTGCCCCTCCTTTCGGATGACTACGCTGTCTCAGGTTCGGCTCCTCTTGGAGCCGGGAGCTTGGATGGTGTCCCTGGACTTCCGGGACGCTTATTGGCATGTCCCGATTCATCCGCGGTTCAGGGACTGGCTTGGTTTTGTTGTGGGACGTCTGAGTTACCGCTTTCGTTGTCTGCCGTTCGGGTTGAACCTGGCACCTCGCGTGTTCACGTGCCTTACACGGGTTGTGGTGGCTCGTTTGCGTCTCCCAGGTGTTCGGGTGTTGGCCTACCTCGACGACTGGCTGGTTTGGGCTCCCAGCCAGTCAGTTTGCTTGCTAGCCAGGGATTTGGTTCTTTCCCAGCTCACCGAGTTCGGGTTCTTGGTGAACTGGAGGAAGTCCCATCTGGTTCCCTCTCAGGTTCGGACTTGGTTGGGTCTCGTTTGGGAC